TTTTATCATCATCCGTGATGATTGAAATATTCCATAACACATCCAAGAGAGTATGCGATGAATGAGGCAATTTGCTGAATTTCCTGGTGATTTTATCCATTTCTGTGAAGTTCCTAGTTAAAATCGCTCAGTTGAAGATGTGATACTAGTTTAATTTACATTGTCACATAGAATTTCGGGAGACCGTAATTGCTGAGTGCATTACATTGCATCAGATTATCTTGATATCATTGTGCATTTGTACGAAAAGAATAGTATAGATGGTGCTTCTACAATGTCAGACTGCTTCAAATTAGAATCACCTTTCTGTAGAATAGTAGCTCGCAGCTATGTCCTACAACTACTAAACGTGTTACTTAAGTTATATCAGTCTTAATAATTTTTCATGTTCAGATCACTAAGATATTCTGAGATGCTTAATGAATTACTTGTGACTATGAATGACATGGAAGGTGCACTTATGGCTCATGTTTCTAAAGCATTTATTATTAAACAAGTTATCTGTAGGGATTTTGTGATGTTCAGGTTACAATGCTTGAGTGTACGTAGTTACTGCATGCTATTGTACTTGAAGGGACAGTTGGTGAAAGTGAAGATAGAATAAAGTTTTCTCTAAAGTCACTATGAATACTGCAAACTGTTGATAAGAAACTGCATCAAAGGAATAAATTCCGAATAGCTAGAAAATACTACTGCAGTTTCTCAGGGTGCTGTTCTCCTCCTGGAATACCTTTTAATTGTGTGAGGGAATAGCACTTACCGATATATATGCAGTGTTCATTGTGAAGGGTCCGCAGTTTAACTTTTATGATAATCCGTTGTAATTGCTTGTACAATAATTGAACAATCGAAAATTTTGAAAAAGTTTTAATTTACGATACTTCACGATTGTAATTTATAACCTAACTTATTGTACCTGTAGAGATGTCATGCATTCCTTGTAAACACCCATTTATACAGCATATTAAGTTATTATTTGCTTGGTGCTATACTTTAGAAGAGGAACAATGTGTGTGACAGTGAAAACCACAGAAGAATGCTGTCATGACCAAAGAATGAGAAAGGAGAATGAACCTTTTTCAGCAAAGGTAGGAGAATATAAAGCGTTTCACTTTTACATTACTTATTTCTAACTTCAACGATTTGAAAATTATACTTTATTCACTTACTTGCAGATGTTCGGTGAAGTCAGTCAACCTGGTCACAGCAATTACGCATCCCCGCAGTAATTACGAAAAACAATTGTGTAAAGACATTCGCTTAATATTTTTCATGAAATATATTTAACATCCTGCTTACCATACTTTTCTTATTCTATCTCAGTGAAACTAAATTTGTCATTATGACGAGATGTAGGCCTGACGTGACAATGAGACCTGAGAAAGTAATTGTAGGCATAATTCAACGTAGGCGAAATCGTACTAACATTGCTACAGCTCAACCTATTAAATTATTCGTCTCGTGTAGACTTCATTTTACACTATATGTTAACACCCGTAGTCATATGGATTGACATCTCGCTTTAAGTGAAATAATAGTAATACACTACTTTTGATTACACTTACGAAATCGAACTCAACTGCAGGGCCTAAGTTCTATTCTTATTTCTCAAACACTGAAGTTAGGTATTTTTGTCATTAGTCCCTACAGATTTATCTATGACTAGGAGACGTAATCGCATAACTTTTTCGACTTGACTGAAGTACTTATAATTCACCACTTATATCGATGGATAGTGTTCCTACAGAATTGCACTTACGTATAGTAAGGAATTCATATCCTAGGGAGCACCGCTCTAGCATGCCGTACTCCCAACGCGAACACACGAACAGAAAGACAACAATGTTAATACGAAAAGTTTATTCTTATTGTAATACGAAAGTAGTTAATTTACACATCAAGAACATTGTTCATTTGAGCGACTACTTCTCCAGCGTACTCTGCGGCAAACATCTGTCCATATTTGTCACAAATTCTCGTCAGGCCCGCATTCATAAGCCTCCTATTGGTTACGTATAAGTCACATTGATTTCGCGGCACAATTGCTGACGTGCTTGGAGATGCGTACGAGTCGCGAGACCATGTCCATCGTTTACACTTCTGCAGCACATGATTCACTACAAAAGGTGGAACAGTAAACGGAAATAGAATTATGCACACAATATTAAAGGATAAATAATGACAGTGCTTACGTCCTGTTTTCAGTTAAGACAAACCCTTATGAAATATATATACATTTTAGTATCTACGATTTTCAGTCAGTTAGGAGTAGGTTAATATGCATTAACTATGGAGACATAAAATAGGGAATACTTCAGGTGGCAACCTAGTATATCTTACGTGTAAATGAATATACAAGTTTCAAAAAAGGGTATTTTACCTGTGAAACACGCCGTTCTTAAATGCACGCAAGTGTCGACAGGGATACCGACAAGTCTGGAACGTCATACAAGTGCATGTGCATGCACGCAGATCCACCTCTACTTGTCTCCCATTGTCCTCCAAGAAGATATAATCAAAAGCTTCAAACTGAAAAGAAGTCCATCGTCGCTTTGCATAATCAGCGATCACTTTCTTCGCAGTGTATGGCGTCAGCTGGCGTAAAATTGGTATTATGCGTTTGGAACATGAATACTTGAGGGAACGCGACTGAGCAATCATGGACTACTGCTCTATTCTAGAATTACTTAGTTGAAACCATTTGTAAACCTTCAGCATGCTTTTATGCAGACTATCTGATCTAAGCAAGTACCGCTTCATCTGCTTGTGAGAACTTTCTACTCGATTGTTGGTATCATTACCCAAAGTCAGTACATGTTCCCTGAAAGCTGCTGCCCACAAGTGTCGTCGACTCATCCAACGACGTTGTAAATACTGACTAACACCAACATCCAATCTGCTTATAACTCTGAAATAGAAGTTAAATCTGGAAAAATGAAAATATTAAAGGCATTACTCAGATCTCCTTTTACACTGAACTAAGCGACATAAGTAGTTCTTCACAATGGGATTCCGCGTCTAAAATTGAAATTTTAATTATGCTTTTAAATAATTTACTTTACGACAAAATGCACGACAAACATGAAAAGAACAAAGAACAATGTGCGCTTCTCTGTGTGTTAACTTCACTGCTCCTATTTCAGCTTGCGCACAATCCATAATGAATGTTTCTGTTTTAGAGGTGTCTTCCATTATTCTACGAAACGAGTCCAAAATCCAAACAACATCACGCTTGAATTCCTTTCGCGTCCAAGCAAATAGAACCGGTCTCCCACGACCAAAATTATCCGTCACAACTAATTGAAACAAAGAATACCTGCATGTTGATTAATTAATTAATAAACTTACTTCCCTTTATTTGTGTTATATGTAGAATCGATGCCAACAACCTCCGGAAACTGTTTATACAAATCTATTTGCTCATAAGTAGAAAAACAGACTCTCATTAGTGAATTCCTTATCGGTTCATCTGAATAATACTCCAATAACTTCCCACGGGACTTAAGGAATTCAAAAATGTCATAACGGCTCGACATACCTGAAGTAATTTACATTTACATCAACGTTACCTTTATTAACTGAAGCTTTCAGATTTCTAACGTCATTAAGAGTTATGTCCTTGTGGAATGTTTCCTTAACATGCATAATTATTTCATCTGATGAGTGTGATTGGTGAAGAAGTGGTTCTACATTTTCTTTCTCTTCCACTGATAGTCGTCTAGACCATGAATCATTCTGCATATACACCCTGGTGCATGGATGGTTGTGGACCATTTTGTGGGATGTTATCACGTATTCACTAGAACGCAAAATTACGCGAAATGCAGACAGACAGTTGCAACATTTAGACCTTAAACATACATAATATCATAATACACTTCCTCTTACGACTTGTTCCGCAATTTCAGGCCAGCTTTTCCACGGTTCACGCCAAAAGTGCATTTAAAATAAACGTAAGCGTACTTATATCTGTCGTCCCCTGTTGTTTTGCTTTAAATATGCACATAGTGAGTGCAGGACAACTACATTGTTAGCATTAAATGACTTCCTCACTTTTTGAAATTCTACTAAGGAATTCTCAAATTCCTCCCAGCTAAAGAAACGCCTTCCCAGCATAATTTCATCGAAAATTCCACTGACGTCAGCAGTACTTTCACCCGCATTGCCTACCTGCAATAAACTAAAAAGGCGTTGTCAATTAGCATCCATCTGTGTCGCAATATCCATCAATAAAATGCTACATGTATAACCTAAAATCGAGAAAAGCCCTAGAACTCACGGATTCCTTGACATCGCCAGCAACCGATAGGCCAACAAACCGAGTGTATGATAAACCAAGCCTGGTACATGCACAAAATAAGTAAAAGAAAACGTTAGAATACTAAAATTTTACATTTATATTCATCAAACATGCTTGCAAACAACGCATGCCGAAACCACGCAAACCTGCACACGATATGACCTACCGAGGACAAATTAAATATCAAACTGGCCGCCACCGTTCTAGCCAATCAAAGCTGAGAAAGCCCTTAAGCGCGTAAGATTTAACACTCTCTAACGGATATCATCACCCCATATCAACGCCCTTGAAAAGGCAGTCATAGTTTCGCAACTGATATGGGCTTTTAATTTCTCTATGTCATGGATGAGTTACTGTAAAGTTAAATAGTAGCTTCTCAAGATGAACGAACTTACTAATCACCGATAGAATCGACCCAGCCAGTTTATGTAAAAGAAGGGAAACAGAGTTCATCATCCATTTCAAAGACAAAACTATAAAAAGACACCTTGCTGATTGTTCTTTTCCAGTATTTCATCGCTAATATATTTTTTCCGTACCTGGCTTCTCAACCTTGGCCTGGTTCCACACTAGATCAGTGAAGCGTAATTTCCAATAAATAGCTATTCTTTAACTTGTTTAACGCTTTTGTCACCATATTAAGACGTATTGAGCCAGCCATTGCTATTTAAGATGTAAACACGGCACTCTGTTTCCCAGAGCATGTTGTGGTTAGGGGCGGTACTTTCGACTATTCAAGGTCAAATGGTTGGACGGTAGAGATGATTTTTCCTGTGATACAAGCTCCCACTATCAACTAGGATATTTAAAATCTTGCTATGAATATTAACTCAGCGGTTCGCTACAGTAAGCTGTGTAGTTGTAGATGGCAAACGAAGGTGGTTTGGTGTCTGCAGTTGCTGTGCTACTGCATATCTTATTTACCCGAAATGGATTCTTACTTCTGTATAATTGGGGGTTACCTACTCCCACCTCACTTCAGACTGTGGACTTTGCTCACATTTTCATTTTACAACTACTCACTTACATTTCTTATTCTGGATATGTTGACTGTGTATCTCATGGACAAGTTGTTGTCCAGTCCGTATAATTGGGTTGAGTTACTTAGGTTTAGTGTTTTGGTTAATCTTTCATCAGCTATCTGCGTCACTACGTTTTATCTATTAGTCTCTCTTGTTATTTTCGATAAGAATATTTTGTATTCATATTCCATCTGTGGCCTCATTGGACTCTTGGGTGGAGTCACTGTACTTGGCCGTCAAATGTTATCTGATAAGTTAGTTGTCGATTTCCCTCTTGGTAAGGTACGATATAAGCACATACCTTTTGTGTGCACTTTGTTTTTTGCTGTTTTATTCGGTACTGGATTTTGTGGAGGTGTCCCCTTATCAATTTTTGTAACTGGAATCTTTATTGCTTGGATGTACTTACGCTTCTTCCAAAGACACAGTAATGGTTTACATGGGGATGTAAACGACAGTTTCACATTTGCTGGGTAAGTGTGTCATTATGTATTTCTTATCATGCAGCTTCTTTCCAAACCACCTAGGACCGCCCGTCTCTGTGATATCCAGCGCAGTATTCAACGTCCTAGTTCGATTTCGTGTGTGTAAACCTCCACCTCCGAAGAATCTATCCATTCCTCCTTCAGTAGTCTCATTTACAGTGGATATACACGACACCACTCATGCAGCCAGCAGGTATAGTTCGTCATTTTTCATTATTCCTTTGCTGTTGATTATGGTCATACTAAGAAACAAGTTATCAAAATATTTATATAATTGAGGGACATTTGCAATTTTAACAGAAAGCTGTTTGGTTAAAAAGTGCTGTATTAGATTATACCAGTCGGTGTTTTTTCTTATCCCATTACATTCATGTGAAATTATAACGATCGAAACTCAGACCTTTTCTCTATTTCCATCTTTATTTAATGCAACATAATGGTTTTCAAGATGTCAGGAAGCGTTTCAGGGTACGTTTTACAGTAGGCAGCAAGTTTGCAGAAATGGAGATTTTCGAAGGTAGCAAATTCTAGTGATTTTTATCGACTCAGTTGTCATACCAACCACTCCTGCCTTCGTAGACTTGCGTGCACTGGTTGCTATCAACGTGCAAGTAATTCTAAAGTCTGACAGCATGCGACCAGACAAGGTGGAGATGCGTGTTGTCATCAATGGCGAACATGCTGCAATTCTTCCTTGTCTCTCAGAAAGTAATATGAAGTAATAAATCATCCTCTGAATGCTCTTGATAAGTGTGTTTACCTGTTTTCTGATGCCGTGGCTCATTTGTTCTGTTTCTATTTCCCATAAATTGTCTTGCTATCTTCGTATAGTTCATCTATCAGTATCCATATTGCACCAAGTTTGAGTTTAAATAATACCTTTGTGGTGATTATTTGCCTGCTACGTATATATATATATATATATATATATACTTTACTTCGGCTATCTCCTACGGGAGGATGAGCCGGCTTCATGAACATCTCGAATCATGGTGAGAGTCGTTTGTGAGAGAGTTCATGAAGTTTCATGGGAATTTGGTACGAGTGATGTCCCCAGAATCGCTCGGCCTTTTGTTTGAGAGTGCAGCTCTAGCCTTTACACAACCAAGTGTGACCTACAAGGCAGTAGGAGTGGAGTAGGGAGTCCACTATCCATTGGCAGCCGGTGACCGGAGTTCGGTTCATACGCCTTTTTGAATGGGGCCAGACATCCAACAAGCCCTTTTTCCATACGTCTGCCGGTGAGCTCCAGTGAGCTTCATACGCCAGTCGTTGGAGGTTTGGAATCAGGGTTTAGCCATCTCCCCTAGACTGTCATCCAATGGACAGTCAACCCGGTGAAGAGCGCCGGGCATCCGCTTTCGCCCTCTCACTTTGGTGAAAAACACCTCCGCCACGTGAAGGCAGTGAGTAGGACTTCCTCAGGAGAGGCTATGTAAGACGCCCGGTCATATGGGAGCATTTCAAGAGGTGTGCGGAGGGGTGGCCAACCCGCAGCGCAAGGCACCCACCCCCGACCATCCTGAGGCTTTGGAGGCCTATATATATATATATATATATATATATATAGAGAGAGAGAGAGACGATTTAGATAACCGTTCATGTATTAGTCTGTCGTTAAACAAAAAATTGTTTTCCTCAAAATTTGTGCAAACTATTGTAAACTACTACATTAAAATCTCCAGTTGGTTCTGACATGAAATCCTTTATATGACCAATGTAGGATTGGAAGCAACCGTAAATAAATAGCTTATTCAGATTATTAACCCCCGTGGTTATTGACATAATGTTTGCATGTGTAGATATATTATCGCTACTTTTTTATTAATTTCTTCACTTATCTGAAAATACAATAGGTATCTTTCAACTCCAAGTATTGTAAACACTTGCAGCAGTCAGTCTGTACCAAAATCTGCTCTTACTCATTCACCTCCAAGTTTTCCAAGTGAATATACACGTTCCATACCAACTGGTGGTACTCCATTACCACCTATCCCACCTCCAATTTCTGTTTCAAATGAGGCTTTATCATCATGATACTGTATATCATTCTCTTGCACAATCTAATTGCATCCTGTGATATATGAACATTTGCCCTTTTTTATTTGGCTTTTGTATCCTTCTTTACTTATCATTAATCCTCTAGTGAACAAATGAAGAGCACCCTTGTTATGTGTGTAATGAATATCTGTATTAGTCTTTTCTGTATAATCTCATCTTTTTATTCTGCGTGTGAATTTTCCATGGCTGTGAATTCTGCAATAAAGAATTAAAAAATTTACGTCGTCAAAGTCTTGTATTTTCTATCTGTCAACGTGTATAATCTCTAAGCATACTTCGGTATACAGTAATTGATTTATATGGGCTTTTGTTCTTCAGTTGTCGAATACGTCTTTCTTTCTTCTGTTAAGCTTTTGAAAAGTCAACTGTTATATTTTGCGCTAGAGATACAGCTTGGCCTATTTTAGTAAGTTGTGCATTATTACTGGGTTAATTTTACTCTTTAGAATATATCGTATCTAATAAGTGAGTTCTCGAAAATGCTGAATTGAAAACATTGTTCACTTCTTTAAGGTTTCATTATTAGTTGTTCTTTGAACAAAATTACCTAATAATTTAAAGCTGTGCTGTGAAGGTTAGATGATCTAAGGTCGTTTTGTCAATTAGAGCAGATGTATCTTTGGAACATGAACCCATATGGTAAAATGCATTGATGTTGAACAGAGATCTAGAAAAATCGTAGACTTCGTTCAATTATAAAAATATTCTATGTGTAAGGAAGAAGAAATCTACAATGATTAAACAGTTCCGTCTTATTCCTTTATGTTTCCGAAGCGCATGCATCGAAGTGTTGTGAATCCGGACATTGACGATCGTATCAACATCTTGATGGCTCCGAAAGTAATTTAAATTGATATACTCTACTTTCTCATTCGTCAAACTTCTTCTGGAACTTATATAGTCACCTAATTACGCGGAATTTTCTATCATGTCTCATAGTTCTTTTGCTAGAGTGAACGCAGACACCTATAGGTCTTGTTAATTACTTTGCGATTAGATGATGCAAAGCACATATTATATATAGACACTGATTGCGTTCAAGTTGTATATCTTGTACATTGTTTCGTAGTAAGACGACATGATGTGAACATTATTGGTGGAATAATTCCCCTGTACTTAGCAGATCCATATCAACACCAGACTTACTCTTGAGATCTGTCTCTAGAATGTTTCCTAAGGCTAAATTGAAAATTGATAATCAACATTTGACTAACTGAGTTTCAGCTTAGAAATTGGCGCTGAAGTTCAAGTCGCCACACTCAATATAGCATACAAAGGTAGACAAAATGAAGGAAAACAAAATTCAAAGAAGTATTACAAACAGGATTATAAGGGGGAAAGAATAACAACACAGGAAAGCATGAAGGTTTAGTGAATATGGGAGATCATAAAGGTTGAATGCATCCGCACCAATGAGAAGGATACTCAATCATATCACTAATAGTCAGTATGCAGCCATTGGTTTTTATTGTGTATTTCCGAACAAGCGAGAGGAAAATGTCCAAGGGTGTAAAAAAATATAGTGTGGTAAGAGCTGTCAACAAGCCAAAATCGTAGACAAGAATTTACATCGATGTTCACGTCCCGAATCAGGTTCGTGAGAAAAACAATAACAAAGCTTAACCTTGAGAAAATCACAGCGGAGTTAAAGTGTGGAAATATGATTCACAGATACATTACTTGATTTTCTGAGAGACGGACACAGAGAGATAACAGAATAACCTTCAGCAAGAAAGCAACCAATCAGAGGAGGTTGCTTCACCGCTAATAATAATGCACATAAAAATCTGTGAATACCTCTTGATTTCCTCAATTAATGATCTGCTACCTGGCACTTGTCTTCTGTCGTTACAATAGTACTGTCTGCAAACAAAGCTGTTATTGTTATTATAAGTTGTACAATTTGGTTATAAGTGAAATTAATATTTTACGATTGATTATACGCAAACCTTGCACAGCTTATAAAACTACAACGTTTGTCTGACTTTGATCAGTAAACTAGTGTAGAAGTGAATAATGAACGTTGGAATATACATATATATCTGCCAAGTTGGATAAGAGATTAGTTACTCGCCTATGAAAGTGGCTGGCGGTAGCGTTGTATATATCGCGAATTGCAGAGGTCGGAATTCATAAGCCCTTGAGTCGGGTGCCAGTGACTGAATGGTCTACGAGCTCGCCCTGCAACTGGAAGGTCCTGGGTTCCAATTCAAGTGAGTGAATACTAAAGAAGAGTCCCGAACTAGGACTAAACAAGTGTTTAGTACTCCGAGGTTTTCGAATGGTTTCTAACTAATGTCAACTCATGATCAGACCTGTAGCCGATCAAATCCATGAGAACTAACACTTGTTTAATATATATATAATATATATATATATAGGAGGAGAGAGAGATCGATAGAATAATTATTGATTTTCTACAGATGAATTGGTGCTAAAGCTCGAGCAGATTTGAAAAGTCAGTTTATTATATCCAATCAAACTACTTATGAGTAGCATGGTTTTATGTGGGAAATTTGACGAGGACATTGGAATGCCTGTTACAGTTTATTCCCTTTTTAAAAAAATTTATTATTAGGGATTTTTAGAACAGTTGACCAAGGCTAACCGTACCGTTTTCAGTTAATGTACTCTTTTTTCCAACAGTTCCCTATTTCCAATCAAGTAATTGTAAGTATTGATGAACTGCACCTCTTATATATAACCTACAACTTCTTTAGTATTTTTGAAAGTTGTCTTCCTAAATTAGTGGTTCATTATATCTTATGAATCACTGGCACGTGTTGTACCTATTAACAATCACTAACCTACTTACACTTATAAGCACTAAATAATGACTCTTTGAAACGGTTTGTCTTAAGCTATTTTAAAGGGTTCACTGAATTTCAGTTCAAGGAATTATAGGTAATTAGCTGCAAGGTGTAATG